CGACACGCACGCACGACACGACACACACACACACACACACACACACACACACACACACACACACACACACACACACACACACACACACACACACACACACACACACACACACACACACACACACACACACGCTCGCAGCATGAGCGAGGCCCACACATGAGGAACGCACTTCCTAGCAGGGTCACTAAACGGGCAGGGGCATAACTATAGCTCTAGTACAGGCCTGTGGCAGAGCGAAGGGCTATAGTTCTACAGCTAGGACATAACCTATACTCCATACAAACTAAGGAATTGAGAGGGATGGTGCAACGACAAGAAACACTTCATTGCACAATCGTCTGCACAGTAGAGTCGAGTCACCCACCCACCAGTCTGTGACTTTTGACTTATAAGCTGAGCTGACGAAAATAGTTTTAAAACTTGCTAATGTTTACTACGAGATACTTTGGGGAGCTAGATCAGCTGCACTCACAAATCTATAAGCACGGAATTAATTATTATTATGTTGTTGTTTTTTTGCAGGGAAATACCGATCTAAAGGTTCCCAGTCATACATACATACATGTACATATAATCAAGAGCGGATAATACCGGTATTATCCGCTCTTGATATAATGTGAGTCAACATTGGTCACATTCGTTCATGCATAGGAGATATAGCTGTATCCGGCATTTTGGCAGCATTTCGAGGACACGATTATCACTTATAATTATATATCTCTTATATCTCTATATCTCTTATATATCTCATATCAGGAGTCCGCAGCAATATGAAGGAGTCCGCAGCCTGAAGTTCAAAACTAAAGATAACGAAACTAAAGATAACTAAAGATAACGCGAACAAAAAGAAAGAAACTAAAGATAACGCGTGTGCTTATTTTGAAGATTCATGCGGTTGCACGTCTGCCAAATTGTCTTTGGACATTTGTGGGAAAAATACGGTAATTCCGCGAGGCCGTGCTCTGGAACGAACTAGTTAGTATGGCAGAATTTTCAAGGAGTCACACGGACTCCTGCATATATGTCAAATCAGGAAGTCCGACAGTAAATCAGGGAGTATTTGACTCCGGACTCCCGTTAATTTCACACCCTGTCATATTCTTATATTCATAATATCAGGAGTCTATCAATAATCTATAATATTGATAGACTCCTGATAATATATATACCATTTTATAATCACACATATATCATATTCATATCTTATTATATTCTTATATCTCTTATCTCTATAATATACTATTGTCAGTCTTGGCAGCACAGCCAGGAAGTAAATAAACGGTGGAATATAACAACCCTGGTTCACACACAACTCAATCTAGGAGATTGTCCAGTCAAAATATCAATTTTTCATCGCAAATTCCCGTTGTGCATCTGGGGTCACACTTGGGCCATACCAAGACACTCTGCTCGGCTGTTGCTATGGCAACATCAAAAGCTACAACCTAGTACTGGCTGGTGTATACCAGTAAACCAGTTGGCAAACCAGGTCAGGAAAAACCAGACAGCATGTCATTGTCAACACGTGCATATAGCAGGCACGTGAGCTGCCACCGGCGGGCGATCTTTGTTGTTAACTACGCAGCTGTTCTTGGATAGGTCCAGAGCATACATGTATAACAACACAATGACTGATATCAGCTGTTTACCCAGCTGTTTGTCCAGCTGTGGTCTGCGTGTGAACTTGCGGGCAGGAAAGACACATATACCACATACCACTGTTAGAAGGTAACTCCAGTAATCTTTCTAACCAAGAGCACCCTGAGCAGTCTAAACTCATTGGCTAACATAGAATCCAGAGAGACATGATACAAGATTGCGTGGCACAGCTTTGCTGTTTTTGATTAAGCAAACATGCAAAAGAAAATTGCGTTAACAAGTTCATTTGCACGCACATTCAAATGTCAGGTCATGGTGATAATCCTCAGCCTCTGGTACTCCGAGCTGCAGAGAATAAAGCATGTATATGCTGCACACAACCCCAGACATCATAACACTATAGAAACCATATAATTTTCTCGGGGTAATTCCAAGTAAATATAGTACGTATAAATTAATGTAAAAATATATGTTTGTAGTTGCTGCAAAGTGAGAGGAGAGATAAACCTATGAGCAAATACAGAGAGCATATACCTATATCCACCTTATCAGGAAAGGTAATAAATTGCTCAGGTTATCTATAATGAGATAACATATTGCACAAGATTTTTTAACATGCAATGTTAAATGCAATCATCTAAATATGATGTATAGCCATTGTATGGTCCATTGTATAGCAAATGTATGGTCCATTGTATCGCAAATGTATGGTCCATTGTATAGCAAATGTATGGTCCATTGTATGAAAGCTGATTGAGCCGCATTCACTACCCTGTCCTACACCACGCAGTTGATCTGTCAGGTTGAATACTGGCGACCGTCGCCAATGCGAGACCTTAGCTCACCTGACGCGACATTGTTGATGCAATCCAGATAGCTGTTTCCCTGCTCGTCATACATGTACTGATCCTTCGCTCGTACAATCTTGATTGGGTTATTCTTGAAGAATAGTTTGCACGACGGCCTAAAACATATATCAAAAACCACTGTCTGTAGATGACATTGATTACTGTTGTCATAGTATTCCATTATTATCCATGTTTCCATGGATCCATGTTCCATGGATCCATGTTCCATGGATCTGTTGTGCCCAAACTTGGAATCTTGCACAAACTTGGAATTTCAGCGCATTCACAGTTTGGGCAACCAATCTTGAGATTGGGCAAACAGAGGTAAACACTAAAACAGAGCTTACATATGAGTCGAAATATGCTAATGAGTAATTTTTTGTAACACGGATGTGAAAAAATGAAATTCTTTATTT